TGTTTCTCTCTCTCTCTCTCAAATAAATAAAATCTTTAAAAAAATAAAATAAAATAAAATAAGGGGCACCTCAGTTGTTAAGCATTTGCCGTCGGCTCAGGTCATGATCCCAGGGTCTTGGGATAGAGCCCTGAGTTGGGCTCCCTGCTCAGTGGGGAACCTGCTTCTCCCTCTCCTGCTCCTGCTCCCCCTGCTTGTGTTCCCTCTTGCTGTCTGTCAAATAAATAAATAAAATCTTTTTAAAAAATAAAAATTAAAAATAAAATTATACATGTGACTTGCATTTATGGCCCCAATTATTTTTCTATACATAGCACTGGACTAGGCAGTAAGATGGGAGGAAGATGACTAACCCTGTGTAGCCTGTACCCCAAGTCCTGTTTGAGGGTTTTATTTTGTATTTACATCTGAAGACCCATTTTTAGGGAGCAAGAATGAATGAGAAATCAACTCTGGAAATTATTCAATACCTAGGAGAGCCAAGGGGAGACCTAAGAAAGCTACTACATTGCATTATGGTGCTGCAGAAGCATCATGTAACAAGGTCAGACCAGAATCTGGCTTTGCCCTAGAATTACTTTTTGATCTTAGCAAAACAATAACAAAAAACCCCACCTATCTTGGCCTTTTAGTGTTCTCAGTTTATAGTGGAGATAATGCCTCTGCCTTACTTTCGAGGGATAAATGAGATGATCCCTGTAAAATGCTTTGAACTCCTTTAAGAAAATTCTCAGTAATAGTTACAGGTCAAATCCTGTTACAAAAAATACCCTTACAAAAAAAAAAAAAAAACAAAGGCTTTGATTAGAAAAAGGTTTCCAAACTCCAGCCAGTGGTTTACTTAAATAAAAACAATGTTTGATATGACATTTCAGTAAAACTAAAGAATTTAGACCATCTCTTAAAGATCATTATAAAAAAATTTATTCATAGGTATCATACCGTTAGAAGGTTTGAGGTAGGAATACTACAAATTGAGGTAAGGTCATCAACTCAACATTATTTAATTTTGCTACATTTGTGTACCATGAGCCACTGTGGAAGGAAGACAGAGATGAATACAGCATATGGTTCCTACATTTTGTGTTCAGACTGTGTTAGACATGTTTTTCTTACTCATGTAATTTCTTACTCTTTGACTATTTTTTAACCGTTCCTCTACAGAGTAAAGCTGAGTTTATGCACATGACCTAGTTTTTACTGGAGAACTTGAAGACACAAAAAATTATTTAATTAACCCAACATAAGTCAGTGTAAAGTCACAGAAATGTAACTTACTCTTTACCCTATGTTACCTTAATTGATGGAGAAACCAAACCATCATTTAAAACATCAAATCACCCTCTTTCACACCCAAACTAGAAATCAAGTGAACTGTATGAACTAGAATTTATGGTTTAATGATTTACCAAAAAAAAAAAAAAAGCCTACTCACTATGTAGAAAGGCAAAGCCAAAATGGAAAATTGGCATTTATTCTGTTACTTGGTGGTTATGTGTGTCCCTAAAGTCCTGAGCATGAAAAGAAACCCAAAACTATAGTCTTAGCTCAGAGAAGCAGCTAGAATTATTACTCTCAAAATTCTTTTTTGGGCGAGAGTACTTAAAAAGAAAAAAAAAAAAAACAATTATGGCTGAAAGATGGGTTTATAATGAAAGTAAATGTATATCTTCATAGAGTACCTGAATAGCATTTTACTGTCAAGAAAATAAATATATTAATAGCTCCCCAAAAGGGAGATAGAGTAGAGTGGACTTTAGAATATTTTTAAGAAAAGTCATCAACTCTCTTCAAGTTCAAATTCAGGAAGCAATCATAATAAAATAATGTGGGGGGGGCGCTTGGGTGGCTCCGTCGTTAAGCGTCTGCCTTTGGCTCAGGTCATGATCCCAGGGTCCTGAGATTGAGCCCCGCATCGGGCTCCTTGCTCCGCGGGAAGCCTGCTTCTCCCTCTCCCACTCCCCCTGCTTGTGTTCCCTCTCTCGCTGTGTCTCTCTCTGTCAAATAAATAAATAAAATCTTTAAAAAAAAAATAATAATGTAGGGGGGTGAAATTTACCTTTATTTTTATAAAGCTTTTTATTAAAAATTTAAATTTGCATATTAATAAACTGAGAGCATTAGACTACTTTAAACTTAGCCAAAAACATGAAGCTGAGAATATATTAAAACTTAAGATTCAATATGAATTTCATACTCGGTATTTAGAAACACTAATATTATTTACTTTTAAGGAGGATTTTTAAGTATAGAAATAAAGTTCTTTGTGTATGTCCATGTAAGTGATGTGCATAGTAGTGACTATTGCCGTTATAGGTAATTATGTATGCGTAGGATTGTAAACAACACTAGAATTGTGTGTTCTGTCCATTCTTTTTTTTTTTTTAAGATTTTATTTATTTATTTGAGAGAGAGAGAATGAGAGACAGAGCATGAGAGGGAGGAGGGTCAGAGGGAGAAGCAGACTCCCTGCCACGCAAGGAGCCCGAGCGGGACTCGATCCCGGGACTCCAGGATCATGACCTGAGCCGAAGGCAGTTGCTTAACCAACTGAGCCACCCAGGCGCCCCTGTTCTGTCCATTCTTATAAACACAGGCGGCAGTCTCAGACAGGAGCCCATGTACCCACTGGTCAAACACTCAGGGCCCCAGCCTTTAACTTTAGGAGTAGGCAGATTTAACAGGGGGATCATTCTGAGATGAATTAGAAAGAGATGATTTTGTGAATGACAGTTTTCAATGGCATATACTGGTTCAGATGCTCACCATTATACTTGTATAATAGTAATAGCTTAAACACTATTAATCCAGCAGTATTATAAGAGCTTTCCATGTATTATCCTATTCCTATCAACAATCACATGAGGAAGATACTATTAACCCAGTTTTTTGCAGGAGATGAGACTGAGGCCTGTGGCCACATGGTTCCTAATTGGCAGTCTAACCCCAAAGCTGTACTCTGAACCATGCCTTTGCCATACACAGCAGAGAATGGAATAGGACACTCAATTCAGGGTCCTCTGAGATTCCCTGCAACTGATAAAGACACACTTAATAATATTATACTTTACCTCAAGCAGTTCTGGTATCTAAATAAAAGCTGCTTCTAAGCAGTTAAAGTAGCTCCTTTCTTATCTCTAATACTTTTGAAGCGTTAGCTATGTAGACCTCCAGCCTCTTAGTGCTATTCATAATCTTTTTGCAAAACTTTAAAGGGACTTGTAGGAACTAATCTATCTTGCAAAAGAACATTTAACTGAAGTTTAATAATTTGCTTCAGCTTCAACTCCCTCTGTTAAATTTAAATGACAATATATGGGGGTGCCTGGTTGGCTCAGTTGGTTAGGCATCTGCCTTTGGCTTGGGTCATGATCTTGGGGTCCTGGGACTGAGCCCCATGTCATGCTCTCTGCTCAGCGGGGAGTCTGCTTCTCCCTCTCACTCACTCTCTGTGCTCTCTCTCAAGTAAAAAAATAAAATTTTTAAAAATAAATAAATAAAAATATATAAATAACCATATATGTACGGTACATATTATATA